ACACACACACACACACACACACACACACACACACACACACACACGGGTAAATTAATCCAGTTTAATAGTTTCATGCAAATTGTGTTTATTTCTGTTGCAATGAACATATTGTATGTAAGTGTCAATGTTTACATCACAGGGTGGGTCACAATTTATTGTAGCCAGTAGTTTGACATGATGATGGTTTGTTCTTGGTTCATATAGAATATGACAAGATCAACAGTTATACCAGAGTTTCTTAGCCTCAGTCTCTGGACCCTACAGGGAGGTATGTCAACTTACAACTTGTCACCTCTAATTGCTGTAATCCAGTCAGTTTCTGGAAACTGGGTCACAGTGTAGAAAAGGTTGAGAAACCCCGAGTTGGAATATTTTTACAGCATACACACAAGCAAAGATAGAATACAATAACAAAGACAGCTAAAATACAATATAATCTATTAAAAAATAAACAAAATGAACAACACCTAAAAATATTTGAACAACACCTAAAAATTCATCCAAAATACCACCTCATTTAAATCAGGGGCTTTGAATTATTATTGAATCCTAACAAAACTTTACATTTCTTCGCATTGCCCTTCCTCAAGAGTAAACACTGTTAGCTTTTGATGTTTGGTAATATCATGTCCAAAGTCTCTTTGTATTTAATTCACTTCTCCACAGTGTTTTCCTCTTCTTTGGCCTCATAATGATGATGATCATAGCTCTCAGTTGCATAACAATAAAATTCAAAGCTACATGCAACGTTGTAAAATGACAGTGAAATCACACCAGAACTTTATATCATGCCTGTGCATGAGTTTTTAACAAGGGTGGTCGATTTTTGTGATCACAGCATTAAATATTTCTACATAAAGTGCTGCAAAAAATAATACTTACTTTTAAATTGGTCAGTAGCTTAACATGACTTTGAATTTTGTTTTACTCCACGAGCATAAATATAAATAAATAGCATAAATACACATAATAACCAAAAGTACCATTAACAACTGGTGTAAAAGATAGGCAAAGAGGAAAACAGGTAAAGTGATCACTGCTGGGTTAAAACCTTTTTTTAGATGGTTTTTTTTAAAAATTATTATTCACTTGAGTTTTCATATGAATGAGAAGCTCTAAGTTGTAGTGGTTAACACATGAAAGAACCCTGCTCAAGAGCAGCAGGAGACATAAATCCACTTTCAGGGCATCAAAAGCTGGTGGACTCCTCCTGGTCCCGAGTCTAGATAAATGACGGGGCATTTTGGCATAAAATCTGTGCCAAATATATTCTGATCCATCTGCTGTGGTGACCCCTAGGGGGTGAAGTGAACAGCTTTTGTATATGAAAAAGAAAAATAACAAAATAAGAAAGCTAATATTTGCCTTGGCTGTGGATGTGCAAGCTCATATTAATTAAATATGTGTTTCAATGAGTTCACATATTGACAGTAAATATCCCTTTCTGACTACACTGGTTTCTATTTTTGAATAAATGAATCAACTGTGTTTCTGCTAATTAATAAAGAGCAGCACACTTGTAAGAGTTTAAAACAACAACAACAACAACAACAACAACAACAACAGCAGCAGCAGTGTAAACCAACAGAATTGTGCTTGGCAAATGCATATGTAATTAATCAAGGATCATTTAGGACTGATATGAAATATTGCTCCTCACAGATGCTCTGAAAATTTGTTCTTCGTCTGCTGCCCCATGACCAGTTGCTTAGATACAAAATAATGAAATAACAGATATTTTTATCCATGGAGTCATTCTGGAGCCACGTTGGATGGTATCACCTCCCTGCAGGCTGGCTCCTGCTGAGCCTGTTCAGGTACCATCCTCACACTGACACTGCCACCATCTGTGGTGCTCGGGTTCACCACGCGGAACTTCCGGTGAGCTGGCCGTACAGCTCTAAGAAACTGCCTCTTAAAGGTCTCACTTAGCATGATATAGAGAAATGGGTTAATGCAGCTGTTAGCATAGCCCATGCTAATTGCAATATTATAGGCATAGGAGAACGCTATGCTCGGCTTCTGCACCCCCAGGTGCACCAGTTGGAGGATATAGAAAGGAGCCCAGCAGATAAAGAAAGCGAGGCAGATGGCCACTGCCATCCGGGTCACTTTCCTGGTGCGCACTCTCAAACTCCGTGGAGGCAGAGGCGCCACACTTGTGGACATGTGTTGGAGGATCTTGAAGAATATTCGACAGATAATGACTAAGGGTATCGCAAAGGCCAAGAAAAACTGGTAAAGTGTAAACCAGTATGTATCTGTAACTGGATCAGGCAGAAGCAGAGCACAGGCCACTAGCCCATCTGGGAGAGGCATCAGGCCGGCATACATCCACACAGGGATAATGGTGAGTAAGGACAAAACCCACACCAGCCCAATGACCAACACAGCCACACAAGGCGTGCGGACATAGTTGAAGCGAATGGGATGCACAGTAGCTAAATAGCGGTCAAAGGTCATTGCAGTGAGGATATAAGTACTGACAATCTGGCTGTTGGAATCGAGCGCAGTGATGACCGTACACATCGCGGCTCCAAAGTGCCAGGTACCGTTGCCCAGCAACTGGTGAATGAGAAATGGCATCCCGAGGAGAAACAGAAGATCAACAATTGACAGATTTAAGATAAAGATGTCTGGAACTGTTTGCTTGGCTCGACACTTGGTCTTCTTCATAATGGTGTACATGACAATACAGTTCCCAATGATGCCCAGAAAGCAGATAATGCCAAAGATGACAGGTAGGATGGCACCACAGTGAAGAGCACCATCTTCTTCTGGAGACCAAAAATGGGGGGAACAGCAGTTAATGTGGAAATATTACAAATTAGCTTTACATCTTAAAAATACACAAAAATACAATTTAGAACTGTACGGATACAGCATGAAATACTGTATATCTAAGTACCACATAATAAAAGTAAGAATTTTAATAAATTTAAATTCATGTCCAGGCAGATCTATTTGCTTTACACGTGTATATATCTGCCTATGGTGTCTGCATGCCTTTTTTGTTTGTTTGTTTGTTTGGTTGGGTTTTTTGCTTTACTACTGCAGCAAAGTCGAAGACAGAGAGGAATACAACAAAATACAACAGATTCAATATTATTCTAAAGATATAATTAGAGGTCTAAAAGATCTGTTCTTGTGTTCCAAACTTACAAAATCCTGTTTTGAGAACATATTTATGTCAGTATATTTATGTTTGGGGTTTTTTGTTGTAGTTGTTTTGTTTTTTGAACCATGTGAGGAACTATTGCCTTAATTTAGTTAGGCTTGCACTAATGTTTTTCTTTATTCATGTTTCCATTTCAAACGTATTATTTGGGAAATAGTTATGCGCTCTAACGTGAATTTGTGGAATAGGTTTTCAGACCTCAAAAACACAAGATAATATGAAATAACCGAAGATAAAAGAAAATTACAAGAAAGGAAAACTGAAGCATCATTTTATGTTTGTTTTGTTTTGTTTTGTTTTACATTAATGTTAGACGATTTACACCTCAAACAACGTAGGCCTATTGGGCTGTAATACTGTTCAACCTACCTGTTGTTGAATTGCTGCCATCGATTGAAAAATTTGTATTGTTAAAAAAATCCATGGGGTAAAATCAAAAAGTACATCCAAGTTAAGATATGGCGCCGTTATGACAGGGTGGGCTTTCCAAGTAAAAACATCTGGAGCAGATTGCAGCCGAATCCTAAATTACCTTCTTTCTGTAAAAGAAATCAGCACAACCGTCGTGTTTCTCTCTGTGCGCGCATCAGCGCGCTCTGCGCCCTCAGTGGTAATAACGCAGCTCCTCTGGGAGTTACTGACACTGAAGAGTCCGTGAGAGCATCTTCACTAACAGTAAGCGACGCAGTGTGGAGTTGCGACTGCGCTGCAGGTGTCAGATTAAATAACATTGCTGTGTGCGCGTGTGCGCGTATGTGTATGCCTGTTTATAAATGCGTAAAAGTGTTTCCTTATTAATGCGTGTTTCTCTGAATCTGTTTTAGAGTTTAAATTTTCTATTACCTTCAGTACTTTAGGGTTTCATGAAAAGCAGAGAAAGAACAGCGACTTATGACTCAAAGTTAAAACACGTAGCTTTGAAGCGTTTCAGAGCAGTTACAAACAGGTTCCTACACTCAAAGCCTGCCACTAGATGGCTTTGTTGCCTGTCATTTGGCCGATTCGCGCCTTTCGGGCAGTAAAATAGGATGTGAGCGGTTGACGGTTTGTGTGTTATGAAAAACACATTTAAGCCATCTACACAGTTCAGTTACTAGTTTTGCAACTCAAAGCAACTGATAAAGAAGCATGCATGCATTGTCGATTGCAAGGTGTTCTTCTTTCAGCTTATGTCCTCCGCATGTCCTCCATGAATCTTCTCTGCGCTCTTTTCTGTTTTTCTCCTGCCTGGCAGCTACATGTTCAGCATCCTTTTTCCCAGTTTATCTACTATCTCTCCTCTGCACATGCTCAGATAATCTCAGCCTTGCCTCTCCAACTTTGCCTCCAAAATGCTCTTGTCATGCTCTTGTTACTCACAATGAAATTCTTGCAGTGTGTGTTTGACAGAGACAGAGAGCGAGAGAGTTGGTACAGTATAACAATATCCACAGTATAATCATATAAAGTTTGGCATTTTGGAAACCAAACTTTAGTAGAAGATGGTTATGGCCCATGATGTTTGTGTGCTACAGGAAGAACATGGAATAACAGTAAAATTTTGCATCACACATTAATAAAGTATCAACAGCACCCTTCAAAATGCTTTAGATGACAAAAAATATTTAACTATACATTAACAGGGCACTTTATTCTGTATATATACTTTAAACAATACCACTTATTTACAGCCAATTTACAATCACAAGTGAACTCACCCAAAACAGTAAATGAAGACTTTTTACTCAAGAACTACAGCTTAGACTCTTGGTAAGAGATGCTTGGGAAACACAAAGCTACACAACAGGTGTAGTTTGTGTTGTCCTCTTTGATTTGCCGACTAGAGTGTCTTATTCAACACTGGCCATTAAATATATAGTTGCATGTGCTATAAACTAATACACCATCAATGTGCCACAGTTTAAGGTTCAAGTTTAAGGACTGAAGTGTTGGTTGATTAGCTATTGTTTCTTACAGACAATTCATTTCCCCCAGTACACACCTACAACATTATGAAGCTTGTGGTAACTATTTATTTTCTACTGTGCTGTGATTGTAAATCCAGGCCTTCCTGGTTTCAGTCAGTGGGCTCTATGCTTCAAGTTCTGCTACATCTGTTTCCACCCTGTAGAAACAAGAATGGGTGGATTATTTTATTAAAATTATTTGTCAGCATAATTTTACAATCAAGAAAATGCTTTGTGATGATGGACACCGTGACTGTTTGGTTGAATGAAGAACAATGGTAACCTGGTAGCAGATCTTAACAACACAAGAAAGTGAAGTTGAAATAGTGTTAATTGTTAACATTTAATTGTTTAAAACAAAACACAGTTATAATATTAGGAGACGTGAAAGCAAATGTAGTTTTTCTGTTAATGTTTTGTTTTTCCAGTCAGAATTTTGAATTCTTCCTATGAGAAATCTGCCTTTACTGTTTTTCATTCATTTCTTAAATGATTCTGACAGAAAGGGCATGTTGTTGTCCTTACTTCAGGAAACCTAATTTTTTGCTTCAGCTGTTTTTGGTTTTTGTCCAAGCCAGTAATTTTCCATCAGCCTCTTATTGTTTCCTTCTACTGCTTGATCAGTTGATCAATTGGACTGTTTTAATCTTGAGCCCATAATAAACTAATCATGTTGCTCTAATCTTTCCCCAATAACAGCATCAAATTGTATTTTTTCCTTCCATTTGCATAATAGCACGATATAATAGCAATTGAGAGATGCTCGATTGGACTGAGATCTGGGACATTTGGAATCGACACCTCAAAGCCATTGTCATGTTCTTCGGACCATTACAGAAGCATTTCTGCTTTGCAGCAGGTCGCATCATCCTGCTGCAAGAGGCCACAGCCATCAATCACCTAAGCAACAATGTTTTATAGGTGGTACGTTTCAAGGTGAAATTCACCTAGCCATCCAAATGATGTTAAAACAACGTGGTACTCATGTGCCTATTATTATCACTTTTTGTTGGACACCCTAACTGATCTGCAGATATGCAGCCCCATACACATTAAAGTATGATGCACTGTATACTCTGACACCTGTTGCTGGTTCAACAGTGTTCCTTCCTTGGAACACTTTTCATAGATTATAGACATTTTGGAGATGCTCTGATCCAGTCATCTAGCTTTCACAGTTTGGCCTCTGTCAAACTCACTCAGATCCTTACAAATGCCCATTTTTTCCTTCTTCTAACGCATCGACTTTGAGGACAGAAGGTTCATTTGACTTTGAAACCCCTCTAAATTATAAGGATCCTTACAGAAACAAAACAAACTGAATTTTGGGAAATGTGAGAGTGTGTTAATGCGTAGTGTATAAGAGGTAGTGCTTACAACAGGAGTAATACTTTTTTCTCAGGTTTTATGTACAACAGTGAGTTACTTGGACCCTAATAAGGGAGCAACTTTAAGAGGTGGTCAGCAATCCATTTACCTGTGTGTAAGTAATCAGTGACCTGGTGCCCTGCTCATGCTGTCTGTGTCATGTGAGGGCTGTGTGCAGGCAGGAGTGGTGGTAAGGAGGACCCAGTGTGCAGACACTCGGAGGCAGAAAGTAAACTCAAACTCAGATTTATAGCTAGGAGGCAAACAGATAACTAGCAAAACCAGAAATACAAATAATAAACTGAAAACAACAATAACCTGAACTGGCAAATGGACAGCCCACACAGCAAGATGAGGGTAGATCGTGACACAGACACAGAGAAACACAGGGCTTAAATACACAGAGGGAGCAATCAGGGAATGGGTAACAGGAGGGAAACACAGCTGGGGCAAATCAGGCCTAACGAGACAAGGGGAAGCAAAACCAGATAAGACATAAGACAGAACTCTAACAAAGAAACCACAGAATAGAAATGATAAATAATAAAATAAACTCAAAATCCTGGGTCAACAACCCAGGGATCCTAACAGTCTGTTTGTCAGATTCTGACCTATCTGGGTCCAAATCACTGTAGTCCAATGATCTCAAACATGGCTGCAATTCAGAGATATAATTCAGAAAAGGAAATGAGAGAAAATAGAATAGAAAAGAATAACTACGTACCTATAGACAGATGACATTTGTATTTTGGAAATCAGGCCATTTGAGGGTTATGATACTGTTTATAATGAATGATGTTTACAAAAAAAAAGATAAAAATGATCGTTAGTTACCTAAGATACACAATTGTTGAAACAACATATTGTAGCTCAATAAGTGATCTGTGATTTGAATCTCACCTTTGCAGGCTGCATGTAAATAAGTGTTAGGGTGCTCTATGTGCACAGCTGTGTGGACCATTTAATACCTTTGTGTTTTTTTTCCTTTACTTGTTTACTGTGTTCTCCAGCTTTCATTATACGTTTTTTTCAGTAGAAAATAGCTGAGGCAAAAATCCAGACGTCATCCTTGTTAAGATATTCTTTTCCCATCACTCCTCCTCAGAAACAAAACCGTAGCGAGCAGGTAGCCAGTCTGCTAAAAGACCTTCAGTGTCTTCATAAAAGCCATTCTGGGATTTCCAAATGGAAGCTGTGTCATGTTTTTAGTTTTCCCAAAACAATCTGTAAAAACAAGGTCAGCTTAAGTCTGTATACCCTAAGGCACCAGCTGAATGCTGAAAGGGATTAATGTACCCAAAAAAAAAATACATAAGAAAAGAAAATATAAAATTCTAAACACTTGCCCCCTGTAAATACTACTATGCCAACACAATCTCATTACATCATATAGTCAAAATTATTTTCACCTCTTTGCCTCTCCAAAGCATGAAACGGAGAAGGTAGACTGACTGCTTTGCCATCATATCAGGTTCACCAATTTGGCTTACACTAGCCCAATTCCCTGTTTTAAGGGATTCTCTCATTAGGCGTGATTTTCCTTTGCCAGTCTTTCAGATCCCGTCACATGTAATAATTTTTATTATGGCATATTTCTGTTACATTTAGAGTGAGTAAAACATGCTGTAGACTGCAAACTGCATGAAAAAACAGGATCTGGCTGTTGCTAAGTAAAACAATGTTTCTTACTTCCATTGTTTGTATTGACAACATATATGCATACAGGGAATTACATATGTGTATTTTAAATATGAGGTTGTTTTTTTTTAAAACTTTTATGTGTGTTACAGTAACAGGTTATAACTGTTAAAATATATAACAGTTTGGATGCATGTACGATGTTTTTTTTTAAACATGTGATGAAAGCCCTCATTTCTTTACTAGACAAAGAAATGAATGTTAGACTTGTATTATGTCCACATACATTAAAAGTTATGATAATAATTTTACTCAACAGGGTATTATTATACTATTGATGGGTGCCTGTTTAAAACTTCTAAAGCCCTGGCCCGGTCAACAGTACATGAGTGTCAGAAGCCTACAGCTGTCCTTGTGTATCAGCACAGGTTTGAAGATGTGCACAAAAGAGCGCAAGTAAAACGCAATAATG